AATACGTCCCATGAACTCTGGAATGGTACTGCACCATCGTACAAATACCTGAAAGTGTGGGGGTGCCTTGCAAAAGTCGCAGTGCCACCTCCTAAAAAGGTCACTGTCGGACCGAAAACCGTTGATTGTATTTTCATCGGATATGCACGCAACAGTAGTGCTTACCGGTTTCTAGTTCACAAATCAGATATTCCGGATATTCATGTTAATATAATAATAGAATCAAGAAATGCGTCTTTCTTTGAACATATTTTCCCGTGTAAGGATAAACAAAATCTGAAACGTACTCGGGACGAGAGAGACGTAAGTACCGCTGCTAACGAGCCCAGCACGTCTGGCACCTCAAATCAAGCAGAAGATGAACCTAGACGCAGCAAAAGAGCTCGCAAGGAAAAATCATTCGGTGAAGATTTCTTGATGGTTTTCTCGCAGAGAACGAACCAAGAACATATGCTGAAGCAATGTCTATACCAGACGTACCTTTATGGAAGGAAGCCGTTAATAGTGAGATCGATTCCATTATGCAAAATCATACATGGGAAATAACCGATCTACCTGAAGGGTTTAAAACACTAGGGTGTAGATGGATCTTCAAAACAAAATTAAAAACCGACGGCTCTGTTGATAAGTAGAAGGTGAGACTTGTGGTGCAAGGGATTCAGACAAAAAGAAGGTCTGGATTTTTTTGACACCTATTCTCCGGTAACGAGTATAACGTCAATCAGAATGCTAATCGGAATTGCAGCATTGAAAGATATGGGTAGAAGAGGAAATTTCTATAAAACAACCCGAAGGGTTTGTTGTTCCAGGACACGAACACAAAGTCTGTAGACTTGTGAAATCACTATATGGACTTAAACAAGCTCCAAAACAGTGGCATGAAAAATTTGACCATGTAATGATGTCAAATGGTTTCAGCATAAATGAATGCGACAAATGCATTTACATAAAAAGTACCCGTAACGGGTATGTTTTGTTATGCCTATACGTTGATGACATGCTCATCCTCGGTAGCAATAAGGATGTAATCCAACAAACCAAAAATATGCTTCATGGTCAATTTGACATGAAAGATATGGGTTTGGCAGATGTTATTCTAGGGATTAAAATCACTAGAACACCTGAAGGAATTACACTGTCTCAAACCCATTATGCTGAAAAAATACTTGAGAGGTTTAAAACTTACTCAAATGGGACCGCAAAAAACCCTGTAGATTGTCAGCTTCACTTGAGAAAAAACTCGGGCGAAGCGGTATCACAGGTAGAGTATGCACGGGTTATCGGAAGTCTTATGTACTTAACAAATTGTACGAGGCCCGATTTAGCGCACGCAGTACGTACTAAGTCGCTATACCAGTAATCCAGGTCATAAACACTGGAAAGGCATAACAAGAGTGCTAAATTACTTGAGACACACCAAAAGTTATGAGCTACACTATGGTAAAGAACCATCAATTTTGGAAGGATATAGCGATGCCAATTGGATAGCTGACTCCAAAAATTCAAAATCCACAAGTGGATATGTCTATACTCTAGGGGGTGCAGCAGTATCTTGGAAATCTCAAAAACAAACTGTAACGGCTCGCTCAACAATGGAGTCTGAGTTTATAGCTTTAGACAAAGCTGCAGAAGAAGCCGATTGGCTTCGAAATTTTTTGGAAGATATTCCAATGTGGGGGAAACCCGTGCCGGCATTACGTTTACACTGTGATAGTCAATCGGCTATTGCCCGAGCACATAACACCCACTACAATGGGAAGAATCATCACATACGAAGACGACACAATACCATTAGAAACTTGATTACCAGCGGTGTAATTACGTTAGGTTACATCAAATCGGCCGACAACCTAGCGGATCCATTTACCAAGGGTTTGGCACGAAATCAAGTGATAAAATCATCAAGAGGAATGGGCTTAAAGCCTATGAATTAAAGATGACGTTTGATAGATATCCCACCAAGATGATTGGAGATCCCAAGAATTAGGTTCAAAGGGAAAACTAAATTAAACGAAATCTATCTCGAGCACTGTAAGACTAATAGTCGCAGCCCAGTTCCCAAGATGATAAACAGTGCTTCATGTACAAGTAAAGGATAAGCAATGCTTTTAATGATTGAGTCCAAAAGCTTTGATATATAAGTGGAGTTTTACAGGAGACTTCTTAAAACAAACGCTAGTGACAAATCACCTAGTGAGTGTGAAATGGGGCCGTTTCTAGGAGAATATGTGAGGCCATATTTTCTTAGTTCACTCATGAAATCTAGGAATGTTCAAGGCCAAAACGAACACAAACTAGAGAAATTGGTTCTACGAGGAAAAGTAGCTGGGTTCTACCTGTTTTCTTGGTTTACATAAAAATCTGGGTGGTTCAAGACATCATGTTCACCTCCCGGAGAAGTAAACTCGACAGATATTAACAATGAGTAGTTCAAGGCTGCAAATGCTACTATCTCATACACAGCTAATTTTTCGCATATACTCTTGAAAGTCCAGTCTGCCAAGTCTAAGTCAGTTTTAGGTTATAGAGTCTTACAAATTCTCAAAATGTTTAGAGTCAATTCTATTCATGTGGGGGATTGTTGGAACTCATTTTTTACACAAGTGGCTCCGGTCAACTTTCTGGCGACTTTTCCGGTGACGTCCGTCATCGGAATGACCGGATAATGGAATCTTTGGATTCCTTGTAATGAGCACTATAAGATAGTGTATTTTCATGTAAAAATTGAAGTTATATTGAATGAGTAACTGAGGTCCAAAGTGGTAAGCTTTAAAGCTTATAAATCACAAATGTAATTTTGTCCCACATTGGAAGTTTGAAAACTTTCCCTCTAGTATATATAGTGATACACATATGACATGGTTCACTAGCTATTAGGCTTGGGCTTGGGCTTGGGCTTGGGCTTGAGCTCTTGGGGAATGTGGGCCTTTGTCCCACAAAAGATATTCTTTTTGGAGAAAATACTTATGAGGTTTTTTCAACATTTCCTAAATAAGTTTTGGCCCAAATCGAAAGCCCATTAACGAATTCAAACTTGCATAATTTAAAAGGCATATTCGAATATTTCTTTCTCGAAATCGAGCTCGCGTAACATCTCCGGATTTCTCTCCCACGATCTCGATCTGGGCCGAGTCTTCGGCCTCTCCACCTCGCGTCTCAACTCTCAACTACCCGAGATCCTCACGCACGAGCCTGGATTTTCGGATCTCACCGTCCTCTCCTCTGCGCTATAAAAGCAAGCCTCCTCTCACTCATTTCCATCACTTGCTCTTCGCAAAAACGCAACCAAACAACTCTCTCCCTCTCTCTCTTTCTTCTCAAAGTAAGTCTCAAGAGTATATCGTTTATATCAAGTTCGTAGATTCCGCTATCGAGTGAAGCGATAACGGTCTCATTGTGATTGTATTCTGCGATCCGCTGCTCATAAAACCGTCTCATCTGCGGGAGCTAGTTTGGATTACGGAAAGAGATATCATATCTCGCCTTCACGAGTTTTCTAAATCGTCTTTTCAAATCGTTTTCTAAAAGTTCTTTCTCTCTGTTTTCAAATCGGAATTTCGCGGTCCTATAGTAGCTAGTTATCGTCAGTTCTTTGCAAGTCTGCAAGTTGTACTAAGAAAACAATTCTCAACACATAATGGTTAGTAATCCTCATACGATAATGTCTTTATGTCCTACTAGTTTGGACTCAATAACTTTTGACACGATAAAACGATATTGATGTAAAAAGTGAAAAAATGTCTCAAGTCAACAAAATAGAAAGAATTATTAGTTTCTGCCCAGAATTAAATCACATTGTCCTAGGTGAAAAAAAAAAGAGTAAACATATGAAATAGATAAATGATAAAGAAAGATAAAGTTTAAGAACAATGTTACCTTGAATAAGATGGAATCATTACCTTATATTTAGATGGATACCCAATTTTGTCTAGTAGCCGATGGTGTTGGAGTCGAGATGGAATGGTGGTCGAGTCTACAGACAAGACAACGTCGAGATCCAATAAATAGTTCTGGTTCTCTCCTATCTCTTCCCTTCGGTTTTTAGTTTGTCAAATTTACATTAAAGATCAATTCTTTAAACATCTTTGATTAGTAAAAAAAAAAAGGGAAAGTTACTTAGATGTTATACATTTTATATGAAATTACCAGAAACATACAGATTTTTTTTTTATTACTATCATATTTCGGGTATATTTTTTATACCCAGCGTGCCCCTGTTAAACGTTACAGGAAAAAATGTAATTACAAATAATGTCACTGCCACGTCAGCAAAGCCGCGTCGCCACGTCAGAAATCGCTGACGTGTATTAATGAACTCAGTCGTCAAGCGATATAGCGGCAGTGACGGCTGAGTTACGGTATGTTGCGGCTGATTTAAGAAAAATGGCTGAGTTATGAGCAAACGGCTGACTTACGAGTATAACCCAGTCTGGAGTTACGGCTGACTTACTGAAATCTGTCTGAGTTATGATAAAATGGCTGACTTTCGAGCATAACCCAGCCTAAGTTACGGCTGAGTTTTCACCCGATGGTTGATTTGTCAAATTTTTGGCTGAGTTATTGCTTCGACATGGCTGACTTAACTTTCTCCGGCTGGCTGAGTTATCAAAGACGGCTTAGTTATGGGATGACGTTACGGCTGATTTATGTTCGAGTGTCATAAATCAGCCGTAATGAGTTGGATTAACGGAAAACTCGGCCTTATTACGGCTGACTTAGTAGCGAAAGATTAATTACTAGAATAGCATGCAATGACGGCCGACTTATTAAACGACACGGCTGAGTTAAATATTTTTGGTTGAGTTACGACAGTAAACGGCTGAATTTGGCTGCCGTTTTTTCGTTTTTTAATTACTGTAATAGTATTCATGTTGCGACTGAGTTAAAGTTTTGTTTGATGGCTGGTTTAATTAAGCTGATTTACATTTTCGTTTGGTGGCTTACTTGCCACTTCATCAATTAAAAAATGACGTGGATGCAACATTCCATGTCATCATTCCATGTCATCATCATCAAAGGACAAAAAACTAGGGCCAAATTTTTTCAACTCGTCTTCTTCACCTGAGTTTTCACATCACTGGAACTTCCAATTCCTCATCGTCTTCCTCATTCTTCTTCAATTTCTTTCATCCTTCTCCCGATATGGTTGATCCGGTTCCGGTAATTGTTGTTTCCGGTAATTGGGTATAGAAACACAAATACGTATTTAACACCGATGAAAGAGGGTGTAGAGTTGTGCAGATAGATGCGGAAACAACGCACGAAAAACTTGTGAAGTTGGTGCTCGATGATAAAGTTAGACGAAATGTTGCGTCTCTTATTGTTCCGCGGCAAATTTACATATCACGGCTGAGTTATATGCTTAAGGGAAGACGAAAGGTTCGGTCAATTTACATGTCACGGCTGAGTTATATGTTCCAGGGAAGACGAAAAGTTCGGTAAAATTACATTACGGCTGAGTTATATGCTTAAGGAAAGACGAAAGGTTCGGTCAATTTATATGTCACGGCTGAGTTATATGTTCCAGGGAAGACGAAAGGTTCGGTAAAATTACATTACGGCTGAGTTATATGTTTAAGGGAAGACGAAAGGTTCGGTAAATTTACATGTCACGGCTGAGTTATATTCTTCAGAGAAGACGAAAGATGGGTGTAAATTATATGTTACGGCTGAGTTATATGCTTCAGGGAAGACGAAAGGTTCGGTAAATTACATGTCACGGCTGAGTTATCATTCAGGGAAGACGAAAGGTTGTGCAAATTATATGTTGCGGCTGAGTTACATCACGTTACGGCTGAGTTACATCACTTTACGGCTGATTTATAATACAGATCGGAAAGCAACATTTTTTGGAGAAGACAATATGAAATTTATTGGTCAAATAACAACAATCAAATTAAGATTCGTAAAAATATGTTTGAGGGATACATAGGAGGAAGACTAAACCGTATGAATCAAAACATAGATAGAAGTAGAAATGTCTCCAACTAGATCGATTGAGAGGAAGATTAAACGAGAGACATGTAAAATCAAAGTAAAAGAGTAGCTATTCTTGATTTCAACTCAAACCTGTAACGAATCATGTAGAATTCCATAGATCTCTTTGATTTGGGTTTTGATTTTTGATGACTTTTTTCGTGAGCAAGGTTGCGAGTAGATCTGACGAAGCTTTTGATTTGGGACCCTATGGCAAGCGTTGTGGCTGTGAGGTCTAGGAAGATCCAGCCCAATCCTACAATTTGAAGATCTCTGTCAATGTTGTACCCAAGTTAGTTGCAGATTATTAGATCTAAAAGCTTTTCTTGGATTTGGAGACAAAAAAAGAGAAGAGGAGAAATAACGTGAATTTGAAGAGTGTGAGATTGGTGATGTGGATTAATGACATGGATAATCAAAATTTTATTTATTATTTTTAATTAAAAACGAATTAAAAATTATTAATTAAAAAATACTAATGAAGGGTGTTAATTGTAATTACACAAATGCTCAAAACATATGAGTAATTTTTAAAAGATATATGATATTCTAATAATAAACATACTTTTCTATAACATCTGAGTAAATTTTTCAAAAAAAAACATATTCTTTGATTACAAATATAACCTCTTTTTACCGAAACAGAAGAAACACTGCACACAAAATCAGCCTACACTTAGCGCGAAGTCACTAGTGAAACAGAAACATATACTCCCTCCGTATTTTAATAATTGTCGTTTTAGAAATTTTATTTTTTTGAATTGGATGTCGTTTTCAAATTTCTATGCAAAATTTATTACTTTTTAATGTTTTATGATGTCATAAAACATTAAAAAGTAAGAAATTTTGCATTGAAATTTGAAAACGACATCTAATTCAAAAAAATAAAAATTCTAAAACGACAATTATTAAAATACGGAGGGAATATGTGTTAATGAGCTTGCAGTCTTTGCTTCACAAATATTTTATCAGTGTCTTCTATTGAAATGCTGCTTTAAGTATGCAGAAGGTTACAGAGAGAGTATCATCATCCTACCGGCAAGCAATCCCAAATGAAACCATGATCACTACAGCACCAAAACCGAAAATGGAGATGCTAGTTCTTATATATACAGTCACTGTTTAACTCTTACTCTTGTGATTCACTTAGGCGGTTTTTAAGAATCAGCTATCATCTTAGGTGATTCGCCTACTATTTGTTCTTCATTGTTTCTTGTTGCATCTTGTTCCACTGGGATCGCATTGCAGTGGATCGTGTGTGACACTGGTTTCTCTAGCTGGAACAACCTACAATTTCCCCAAGAACGACAAGGTTAACAAACTAAGGGATCATAAGCTTACATATAAAGCGGCGACTCGTGTTTCAACTAACGGTATGTCCCCATTTTGGGATATCTTTTCAAGCTTTTTTTCTTGTCTTTGGTAATTAGCATGCAAGATGAAACATATAGTTTACACTAGTGTCTCTATTACAACATGGTCTTTTTATGGAGCAGGAGTAAATTCACTTTGAAATTTGGCTTTCAAGTAAATGAGATTTTTGCTTACGGATGCTTGCACAAGGTTGGGCACTGAACAGTCAGTGCGTACTTGCAAGTGGATAGCTCAGTGATAGAAGTGATCATTGCCCTGGTTTCTGCACATACAAACCTCACCTGCATAGAGCAATTTCAAGGATAATGAATCGTAATTCAATGAGCCCAAATGCAATGCAAAAAACTAGATTGCATACCTCGACTTCTCGAGGTGATCCTGTAAGATCACAGGTGGTCCCATTGGTGTATACATGAGAGTGATACCTGCAACCACACCACCATAACAGATTAGCTGAGATATATCTTTCTGCTGCTACAAAGGTTCTGTAAAACCTCAGCTTATACCTCTGAGAAGCATCAGTCGAAATATCAGATACAGTTTGATTAAACGCCGCAGTTGCCTCTGGGTCAAACGTACCTAAGAAAAACTCTTGTACAATCTGTAGTGGCAGGATACACGGGCCATAGCATTAGATAGTGATTCAATGTCGGATAAAAGACAAGTAAGGAAAGAGAATCAGAAAAAGCAAACCTTGTTTTCATCCTCAACGTGTAGCTGCCGTACAAACTTCTGATGACAAAACTCATAAGACCACCAACCTTCTTGCTGCTCAAATCCAGGGAAGAATTAGTTTCAAGAATTTGTTAATAGGGTCAAAAGAAACTGTTTTAAAAAGCTTACCCTAAGAAGACATTTTTCACTAAGTGGTTGAAGCAATTCATCAGGAGTCTTTAGCTTCACCTGTTTCTGTGTTTCCATCATCACAGTACTAATATTTTGCTGACTAGAAGTCCATCCACTCGTTGCTTTTTCCTCTTTCGGTAAGTAACATAAAAATCGATTACCATCCTTATCCAGCATAACCATAGATTCCAGATTATCACCCTATAAAGGACATGTTAGCGAGTCAAAACGCCAAAATTTCAGAGGATCTCTATGTTACACCTATCTCTACTCAATGTAACTCAAGGCCAAAGTGCCAAAATAAGCTTCAAATCAATCTAACTTGTGATTAAAACGCCAACACTTATCCACCATAACCATAGATTCCAGATTCTCACCCTATAAACAATAATACTAGAGAAACAAAACCACAGAGGATCTCTATGTTACAACTGTCTCTACTCATTGTAACTTAAGATCAAAGTGCCAAAATAAGCTTAAAATCAATCTAAATTGCGATTCAAAACGCTAACGCTTATCCACTATAACCATAGATTCCAGATTCTAACCCTGTTAATGACAATCTCTAATGCTACAACTATCTCTACTCATCTATCTAATGTTAAAACGCCCACACTTGTCCTCCATAACCATATTCACCAAAATCACAGAGAATCTCTACTATTTATATTCATTGAGTGCAAAAATTAAGCTTGAGATCTGTCAAAAATTGTGTTATTACCGGGTGAAAAGGTGAATCTTCAGGGAGAAAGTCAATCTTGTACTTTGGTTCACGATTGTTTCTGCTGAATGTTCCAACTATACATAAAACATTGAATCAAATACCAAAACTGAAGAGGCAAAACTCGAAATTGATCGGAAAATTAGGAGAAGAGAGGAAATGATATAGACCTAGATGAGCTGGGAAGATCTGATCCGACCAGACATGGGAGCTTGAGGACAATGCAACTATTACCAGACACAACAAGATCTCCGTGATTCTCATCTTCATACCGGCAAAGAAAAACTGAGATAGTGAAGCGAGCACCGGACGGTAACAAGCGACGGCGATGTAGACGATGCGATCGCTCTTCGATTATTAGCTGCGGCGATGCGACTAATAAAACGGCCACGCAGGTCATCCAATTAAAATTCGACACGTTATGTTATAACCCAACAAATCTATTTACACAGTCGGAGAAAATTTCATCAAAACCAGGTTTCCTTCAAACCGGTTAAATCAAACTTATCCAATTTGAACAAAAACGTTAATGAAAAATCGACATGAGTTTTTGATTTAGGGTCTTGTAAACAGGCATAACCACGGTTACGGTTGTTACGGTTACGTTAACTACCGGTTATAATTATATAAAAAAAATTTAATTGTAATCTTAACTACTATATATGCGGTTAAAACGGTTATAGTTAAATATGATTACAGTTACAACGGTTATAGTTATGGTTATTTGATGATTACGATACGATTAATATTAGAGGTGAAATCTTACGAATTACCCAAATTTTTATTCTGTTTTTAATAAGATGAAAAATATGTTGTAGACAAAATTTTCTTCATTTCGAGCAATGTATCATTACAACACATTTTGTTTGAGAAAAATACCATTTTTCTAACGTAACTTTTTCATATGCGGTACGGTTAACCAACGGTTTTGGTACAGTTACGGTTACGGTTAGTGTATCTTTTAATCGTAACTAACTTATTTTTACGGCTAATGGTTACGGTTTTTAACCGTTTTATACGGTTGCGGTTTAAAAAACTGTCCAGTTACGGTTAGATTTTGGTCATGCCTACTTGTAAACATTAGAGTAAATTGAGATAAGATGAAACGGAAGGAAAAGAAAAGTGATAATTAGAGTAAAAAAAAGTACAAAAAGATAAAAGAGTTTTTTATATGATTGGTAGAGTAAGTGAGAGCAA